TAATATCTACCTTAATGATAATTTTTTGTATACGCGTACTCCTTTTTCTATTTTAAAACAATTGAAATCACATGTTTCACAACATAAAAAAGATCAACAGTCGATTTTGTCACAAAGTGATAAAATGAGTGTCCATTATGCTGTTGTGACACTAAAAATAGTGTCATTAATTTGAGATGATCAACATGGGGAAATTTTTTAAAAAATAAAAAAAATAAATCAGTGGTAATGGATGATTCGCACCATATCTTGTGAATTCGTTTGTAACATATAATGAATTGATCAGCAGACTATTCTGGAATCGAATCCCGATATGGAAATATCCCTGACTGTATTTAACACAACACATGACTTCCGTAGTTAGTTTGTTCTAATTGGCCAATATTAACCAGGAAATTGATAGGTCCAAGATTTTACTATCTCACAATAGTCTTTGATTGTAAGTAACTAATAAACCCAGTGTGATTGACCCCCAGCCCTTCTAATGATTATTGGTCTGGGAACCTTTTTAATTATTCAGATACATCTCAAGGGACACCTTTGGGATGTAGTTAATTAAATAACTTAGGAATCTTTTATTCAGGTGGGTAGGCTGTAAGATAAAAGAAATGTTGACTATAAGTCAGCAGGTAGACAGTGTGTCAAACATAACATAACTATCTAGGCAGGTAGGCTGTAAGATAGTGGAATTAACCATAAGTCAGTGGGTAGGCTGTGTGTTGAACATAAAATAACCTATTAAATAGGAAACTCAGATTGCATGTTCACAGTATCCTTAATTTGACACATTTCAATTTTATCAATATTGAAAGGAATCTCTTAAAACTCTTAAAAAACAAGTGCCAGCAATAACAAAAATATGTTGTTAGATTTCTTGGGGGTTGAGGCTTACCTTTTATTAAGGATGAATTTTTTAGGTTATGCAATATGTAAAAAAATGATATACGATTTAAAATAAACAAATCTAGAAAATATTCTTTGGACATAAAATATGTATAAGAATAGGATTTATAGATTATACATTTATAAAATATATCATTTACACATAAAAATAAACACATAATATTCATTAAAAAAAAATTATTAATCATCATCAATTGACCATCTTTCATATTCTTTTGATTCATCATTACCTTTTTCATTATCAACTATAATAATAATCTATTAGTTGATTAATTAATTAAAAAGAAAAATTTGGAAAATTAAATTTACCATAAGTATGTAATCCTTTTTCAAAATTTCTTATAATCATTATTGAACATATTAAAGTCACCTTTAATAGAATCAATAAAAGCTTAAATTAATTGGCTTAGATATTTAAAAAAATTAATTGAAAATTTTTATAATAAAAATTTTTACCAATGCCGTAATAATACCACAACTCACTATTGATTATTGATAGAATTAATATTTAATCATAAATTATTTCAAATTAATAAAATAACTTACCAAAACCAATAAAAAAATACCAACTACTACTAACAGTTCCAATAGAATATTTTAAAATAAGTATAAGATCCAAAACAGTAATCAACCAACCAAGATTAACAATTATCATTCCTGATTTACATTCTTTATAAACCTTTAATATAAAAATATCATTAGCTATTGAGCTTAAAACTATTTAAATATTTTCTCTGTTTAATACTTACAGAATAATAAGCTAATAATTGATTAAAGAAAATAAGAATAGTGACTCCCATATGTATCAATAATAAACTTCTTGGAAAATACCTATAACTTGTAATGTTTCCATAACCATTACTATTGCTACTAAGATTAAAACCATAAACAACACAAGCTTCTATTGCTGATCCTAATAAAAAGAATAGATCAAGTTTTAATAACATTAAATAAATTAAATATGTCTTGTATATTGCTAATTAATTGTTAATTATACAAAGACGTTGAGGCAGGAAGAGATGTGTATATGAGAGATAGGTGTGGGAAAAAATATTATTAGTAATTAATTAATGATTGATTTCCATTAAAATAAATAAATAGATAAATGATGTACCTTGAATTTGTATATCAGCACCGATTCTTTTGTAAATATTCCAACCAAATTCTTGGTACAATTTAAAAGATAAATAAGCCATAAGAGAGGCAAACGCCAACTCACTACCAAGCAATGGTAAATCATAATTTCTATTCTTGGAACTTAATTCAAATATTCTTAATATTCCTGGACACGCTACCTTCAAATCTTCGTACCATTTCCGAACTTCAAGGATTTGTGACTATAAATATATATAATTAATTATTTTGTTGGCAAAATATATTAAATTGATTCAATTATCAATAGAATAAATAAAGATTCCAGATTAAATTACTACTTACAATGCCAAATAAAGAACAAAGAAAATTAATTGTTGTGATCGTGATAATTTGAATGGTATTTTGATTGTATAACTTTTATTGTTATCATCATCATCATCATCATTATTATTTTGTGAGACAAGAGAATAAATGTCAATTTTCTTTAATTATCAAATATCAGAAATTTAAAAAAAAAAATTTTACCGCAGTGTAACACAGACACATTTGAAATAATTGGAATACCATAAAAACTACATTCTCTTCTTGAATATTGTTTATTCTGATTGCTGATGGCAACAAAGTACAAACTTCAGGTGGTAATCCGGTATTATTGACCATGTATTCTACTACTTTATCACCAGCATTAGAATTACGAAAAAATACTCTAATTTCCAAAGCAATTATGACAATTGCTTGTATTGTTGATGTCAGTATAAATAATTTAGTCCATTTCGATTCAAAAATACGAGATTTCTATGAAAATAATTGTGAGTTAATTACACGGAAAACTATATATGCATCATTATGAATATTACTACCATCTTTAAAATTCGCCGCTTAATCCCTAAATCGACCATTTTTCTTCTATTAACAAATAAATAAATTTGTTTTCAAAAAATGGATTGGAAAACTTTTAAATAAATTTTTATTGTGGCTATGTTCTTATTAATATTGTCTTATTATTTTTTTCTTCTTTAATTCAAAGCCACGAAATCTTTTTCACTGCCCGCAATATTATAAACTTGATGATCATCAATCATCTGTATAAAATAAATCATGACAAAAAAAACTTTTTCGTTAAAAAACAACGTCAAATTTTCAACAAACATCAGTCTTCTTAAAAAGGAATGATAATCCAGAAAAAAAAATGTGGAGAAACGTCATACATGATTGTTTCCTGAAAGAGAATTAGCAGATATTAAACAAACTTCTTACAGCTCGTAAGTTTAGAAAAAAGAAATTGCTTTCTAGAAAAATATTTAGGGTTAATTATCAGCCAACTATTATTATTACATAACAAACATTAGTATTATTAGGTAATATTTTAGAAATAGAAACCTTTTGGAGTGTTTGTGTAAAGATATTCCATTATTTGAGAAATATATATATTTTTCAATTAATACACATTATAATGATTATAGGTTTAGCATTATACATAAATGCTTACATATATTATATTTAAACGTGAAATCCATAATCCATAATCCATAATTATTTAATTATTTATTCAGTTCATTACTTCCACCTTCATAAATGTACTCATTGGTTGGATTAAATTTACTTCGTTTATTATCACAAATCATATAGCAGAGTTCCATAGAGCATTAGAGAATATTGAATTCGAGCAACTTTTAGAGAATGATTATATTAATCATCCAGTTCATTTGGAACGATATCTCATGGAATGAAGTTATAATAAAGTTTGGAATTCCAGAGATGCTAGAATATATGTTTTTTTTATTGATATCTTAATGGAAACCATTAGGTTGGCAATATATACATATAAATATAATATTTTATCATATGACTTTATTATCATTATTGTAGAAGTGAAATTGCTAGTTCAGTGAAAAGGCCTATGATAATTTATCATTGTCGGATGCAGCAATGTTATTATTTTATAATAATAATAATCTCAAATTTTACAACAAAGGTAACTATATATATGTTTGAAGGACATTAATTTATTTTTTGGGAGGCTGATTTTTGTTATTATTAATAAATTAATATTATTATCGTCAAAGTTAATAATTTATAAGGTTATATCCTTTATTATTTGAAAATATACTCTTCGTAGAGGGGTTGAGGAGCATCCTTGAACATCCCTGCATTTATTCTCAAGAATATATAGATAATATCCTTTATTCTTTAGACAATAATAAAATATACAACCCTAAAATCCATCCT